ATAATAATAATAATAATAATAATAATAATAATAATAATAATAATAATGATGATGATAATAAAGTAGATAAGGTTTTAGTGTTGTGTGGATGAAAAGTCAATCCCACTATAAGAATAAACTTCTGGGGAAAATGAGGGAGGAGAACAGATGTGGGGCAGCACGGTGGCGCAATGGGTAGAGCTGCTGCCTCTCAGTTAGAAGGATGTCGGTTCAAATCCCGGTCCAGGGGCCTCCCTGGGTGGAGTTTGCATGTTCTCTCCGTGCATGCGTGGGTTTTCTCCAGGTACTCTGGTTTCCTCCCACAGACCAGAAACATGCATGTTAGGCTGATTGGCAACTACAAATTGTCCCTAGGTGTGAGTGAGAGTGAATGGTTGTTTGTCTCGTTTGTCTCTACGTGTCCCTGTGGTGAACTTGTGACCTGTCCGGGGTGTACCCGCCCCTCGCACAGTGACTGCTGGACATGGGCACCAGCGACCCCTGTGACCCAAAATGGAAGACGTGACTAAAAAAAAGATGTATGAATGGATGCATAGAGGGTGCTTCACTTTTCCCACCCACATTTTCAGAGTCAGAGATTCTTTATTGTCAAAATTATGTACACAGGGTCCCAGTTACATCCAAAAATAAAATGCAAAAGAAAAACAACAACAAACATCCAATGTTGATGTTGTAGTCAGGGGATTCGACCCAGCGACCTTCCAATCACTGGCTCTCTTTCTCTAACCTCTGCTCCACCACGTGTCATAATCATTTGTTTACTGTTATTACAGTAATTCCCATGTTTCTGTTAAGTTCCAAACAAGCAGTTTATCCCACAAGCTTGAAGGTTATGAATAAAATTGTGACATTTTGGTTGCAGTTCATATTCTTGCCACTAGATGTCAGCAAACCCTGAACGGTTTAAAACTAATTAGCTTGAGCCACACCTGTCAGAACGAGAACAGACTACAAATCAAATAAATTCCCTGAAGTGAGGATTTACTCTGGATTGTTGTATTGAAATCAGCGATGTGTTGCACAGCAATGAGATGGAGGTTAAAGGTTAAATTGACCAGCCAAGTTTTAATGGCGGCCTCCCTGTGTCTCACAGACAAACACCTGCCTAAAACCCATTTGATGAATCAAGAAGGTTTTTATGGCTGCTCCTGAGGGACCACAAAATCTGGCACATGAGATCATTATCCCCCATTGAGGCTACAAATGTAAAACATGTCAAACTAATTTAAGGAATTGATACATGTTCTAGACACTGGATCTGTTTCATTTTAGGAACTAAACCTGGAAGTATAAAAGTATGGAATCCTTGTGGGGAATTTGTCACGTTTTCTTTTTTCTTTAATAATTTTGTGGATTGATTTGAGCTCACCCTAAAGTCGATCCCCACAGTGGAGATAAAGCTGCCGGCAAGAAAAGCCCCGTCTTTAAATCGAACCAGGAGGCAGGTTTTCCCCACACCAGAGTCTCCAACGAGCATTACCTGCATAATAAAGAGCCAGAAGTCAATTAGGAATGACAAGGTGCCAGCACACAAAATGCAATTATAAAACCACTAAATACAACACTTAAAAACAAAACAAGGAGAAAAAAAACAAAACACAAAGCAGCAGCACTGAGATCCTTCCTGTAAAGTGTATTTATACACAGAACATGCATTGCTTATTTCCAAATACAGCGGTGCATGTTCTTATTCAGAGCTGTGATTAGGTTAAAGGTTTGATGAGATTACCGTTATCAGGTTAGCAAAGAGACCGTCAGGTCTAGATATGGAAATCGAAAGCGGCTCCTGGTTTAGAGGAGGGAGCAGACAGGAGATGAAAGACAGGAGGAGAACATAAGGAGACGCAGGTCAGAAAACACAGGCGCAATGTTCCGAGTAGGTCCGAGGAGCTCACCCTGATTTCACTGAGCAGATTTTATTTTTATATACCACTAATTAACTTTTGGGAACAATCCAATTTAAGATGGCCACCAGGGCTGATATATGCCAGCACACAGACAAAAAATAAAACTGGCTGTAACTTAGTCAGATTTACAGATGTGGATCTAAAAGTTGATGTGGTAGTAGCTAAGAGTCATACTTCAAGCTAAACAAATTGTGCACAACGTAAAAAGGATTTGAGTCTAAAACTCAGACAAAGTCCTTTCTGAGCACAACTGTTGCTTCACGAACACGGAGCAGGTGGCACAAATCACTCCGAGCCGAGAACACAAAGAGAATCTGTGGGTGTGAGTCTGTTCTGTCACTGTGAAGTGCTCTCCATCCATCCATCCGTCCATCCATCCATCCATCCATCCTTCCATCCATCCATCCATCCGTCCATCCTGACGCTCAGAGATGCAGCCCAGCAGTCTGAACCAGGAAGATAAAATGGCTGTATGGGTCGTTTGTTCTACCTTTCCTTATTGAGACTTGCACAGATTCCAAGTTTGGACAAACATAAAGCTAAACATTAAAAACAATGGAGCAAAAAATAGAAAGTAACCAAGCTCAAAGAAAACAAAAGTGTCCATGTGGTGTTGCACACTGACATGTTGTGCAATTTCACTCCGTAAAACGTGTGCACGTAAGCAAAGGGTGTTTGTTTGAGGAGCACCTCACCTTGAAGGCGATGTCATAAAACTCGCTGCTGCTGCTGATGGAGGGTCTGCTCGGATGGACCACCCCGGCCCCCGGGCTGCTCCTGGCTGCCCTCCCGGAGCTTCTCCCCGCGGGGCTGCCGGCCGACGGGCTGCTGCTCGCCGCTTTGCCTCTGGCTGCCTTCTTACGAGACATTTGCTCAGAAATATTCGAAAATATCGCGTCGCAGAACCAAATCCTCACTCGAATCTGCACGATATGAGCACCCCCCCCCAACAAAACAAGGAAAATGGGGTGGGAAAAGTTGTAGCCCACAGGGGGAGAAGTTGGGCTGAGCTGATTGTTCACCTGTGCGTCGAGCGCATGTTCTCCGCTCTTAAAGCAGCAGCTTCTTCCTGCTCGTGGACAGCAGCTGCAACGATCCCGTGACGCGACATAAACTCCACCTCAACAACAAACCGACACTTTTCACAGAGACGCGTGACACCTGAACCCCGCCCGCGCTCAGAAACCATCCGCGCCGACCACAGAGGCGACTTCTGCTTGAAAAATGTTATTGTCACGTGACTTAGCTCAAGACAAACAGTAAAGCACATCACCGTGAGTGATGATGATGATGATGATGTGTGTGCGTGTTTTGTTGTTTGTTGCGGGCGTGGGGGCGGTGGCTGAGCGCTGTCCGTGGTGCTGAAATACATTGTAGGCAGGAAATTGTAATTTATCGGAATTTAGGCTTTTTTTTTCTCATACTTTTATTGAGTGAAATGCCGTTTATTATGTCTTTTAAGTAATTTCATTAACACGCAACAACAAACAAACAAACAAACAAAAAGGGCAGAATTACAGACTTTTAGCTTTATTTATGGAAGTCTGCGTTTTTAAATTTGAATTTGCCGACTGAACAGTGAGACAGATTAAAGTAAGTTTCGCATTAACTATGAGCTTTATTTTAATAATGAAACGATTTATTCACGTGTGATTTCATTAAACAGCCGCAAGAGGGCGCTAAAGGAGCACGGAATGAAAATTCAGGGATTAAATGGAAAACGGTAGATTCATGTTGTAAAAAAAACAACAACCTTGACATTATTTTACGTTGAAAATAAATCTTAAATGATAAAATACAATGATACTATATAGTTGAGGTTGAATTAATTTAAATACAAAAACAGTTTCGTTAGTAGTCTGTGGTTGTTCCAATGGATCAACTTCTGTCCACTTCTCTAAGCAAACTTGATTACTGAAGCTTCAATAACACGTTTAATACTCCCTCCTCCTCCTTCTCCCTCAACCATTCCCTTCATTATATCAAGAAATGTGAGATTTGTGCTAACTCCCCCATCTCATTACTGTGTGCTAACAAATCACAGACCCCATTTGTTCCACCAAACAACTGAAGCAAGTTATTAGCTGTGACCTTTACGATGCATTTCCCATTAAAGTCCAGACTTTTGAGGAGAACTGTACAAAAGTCCAGAGACATTGTTTTAATCCTTTGCTCTTTAATTTTCTTTTGCTCATTATTAGAGGAATGTTTTTGTTTGTTTGTTACGTCCCTAAACTCTGACCTTTGTATCTTTTTTTACAGTTCAACTGATAATTTAACATTTTGTCAACTTTGCAACAAATCACATTTTTTATTTGAATTAGTTTTTCTTTAATTTA